TGTGACTTAGAAAAAATATTGTCAAACAAAATATATACATTTTCTATTATCTATCTCACTAACATTTTGTTAATATTTTTTTAGTATTTAATAATTGCCTTTTCGTTTTATTCCCTCTAATTAAAAATACGTCTTGTCGTTGTAAAGTGTCTGTCAGAGCAATGAATTTGTAGTTTTTGAATTTTCTTTTCATTTGCGATTATCTAATTCTTTGTTGTATGTAAAAACATTTTTGTCTCTTATAGAAAAAAAAATTTAACTCGTTGTATACTCATCATACTACATTTTAGGAAGTCACTCTTTTATCACTGTAATTTATAAATATGAAGATTTATTCCCTTTCACAAAAAAAGCCAATGGTGTCAAACACTCAATAAAAGTGAATTTTTGACGAGAATTCCAATAGTCACACCGACTCTGGAGTGATTTCAATAAAAGGGAAACCATTTTTACGAATCGTTAAGCAAATATTCAACTATTTTCAATACAGGTGATTTTTTTTTGCTACGTTTATTGTTAATATTTTCGTAACCTTACAATCAAATCATATGCATTCACTCAGTATACATAAAAAGCTGAATAAAATAAAAGACCACTTTTCTCTTATAACAATGAATTTTATTAAATGTTAATTTGTTATTTTTTTTGAAATGCAGATTTTATGTTGAAAGTTTGAAAATGAGTATAACAAATGTCTACATTCTCACCGCTCCTTGAACCATTATGATTGATAGACTTTTATCTCTATCTTTTGTATCATGTTTGTATATTTACAAATATTTGTATATTTTTTGCACGAAACAAGCATTTTTCATATAAAATTTTTCTTTTACAAGTTACTTTAATAAATTTTATAGAAACAAAACAGATGAAAACAAATTGAAATTTTCCGACCATCCATTTAATAAATTTATTTTTGTATGAAGAACGTTCAATTTTCAGTTATAATTAATAATATGCAGATCTATTTTTAGCCCTCATAACTTTTGAAGAACGTTCTGAAATAAATATAGAGGTAACATTGCTGCAATCTCATTCAATGACCCCCACGTTAAACTTATATTTTAAATGAACGTAATCTCTAAAAGTAATCAATTATTATGAGCATGTTTATCACTCCGTATAAAATAATTCAAGATAATTAAAAAATAAATATCAAATAAACGCTTTCCTACTTAAAATTATTCAATATGAATAGTGTTTAAAAAAAAGGTTTTGAATGAAGCTTTTTACAAAATTTACTTATTATTATATTGTTATTACATGATATACTTTATTAATCTACTCGTACAACATCCGGTTTACCCACTTTAAAAAGATAGTTTTTAATATTCGAAGTTTAAACATGTAGTAGCAGCGTAAATAAATTTTTAAATTATACACTTAAAAAAATTATTTACTTTTCAATACTCAAATAAAATGTAAGTATTGCAATATATAATATAGTCAAAATTAATGAAACAAATAAAGATGATTTTTTGGTTCACCGAAGAGGCTTGCAACGATATATTTCAAAGGTAAAAATATTTTCAATTTAAATAAGTGAAAAGCTATTTCACGTATAAAAGGAATATATATTTTTATATTTTATATTTTGCACAGCTAAATGTCAGCAGGAACGATATATTTGATTTGTTAGAAATGGTATTTTTTTAACGAAAACCTGTTGATAACTACACATTTTTAAAAAACTAAATCCATTTTTCAATACAGCAAGATGGAATATAAAATTTCCATCCAGATTCTTTGACGATAGAAAAGTTTGGATACTTAAATATTTGTAGTGTAACTAAAACTGTTCGCTAACCTTATTTAGGTTTTTAGACACCATATCAAAAATATTAAATTGTGTTTCAGATTATTATTATTAAAACAACAATGAAAATATATTTTTAATAATAGTTCCCAATGAATTAATACCCATTGTCTTGTTTTATAAACCACTTCTCCCAGTTATTTACTATTGTATATACATTTTGTTCAGTTTAACATTCAAGTCTCCTTTACTTTGAATGACATTTACATTATTATTCTGTGAGTGAAACACTTAAGCTATGTTTGCTTCCAAATTACAAACCGAATGATGACTTGCTGGAAAATTGCGCATTTATATTCGAGGCTCAAATAAATGAATTCATTTGTAATGGCAAATATATAAATAAATAAAATAGTTAAAAATGATTTCTTCATTTTATATCTACTTATATATTTGAGTTTTCCACATACTTTATTTTTCAATTGCTTTACATTTAATTTAGGTATTAGGGGTATTTAAAAAGAAATTTAAAATATATTAGGTCACTAGCTATCTCTTTTATATTAGGATTTTATGATGAAATTTTGAATTCTCAAGGTTAGTGTTAAATTTATTCCAAATAACTTCACTAAGATTAATTGAAGAAACATAAATTTCCCAGGAAAACGCCAAGGACGATGTTAGACTTGTTCTAATATATATTTTTTAATGTACAAAACTTTTATGGAATATTCCACGAATATATCTTCAGTATATTATTTTATATATTTTATATTAAGAACTGCTTTTATTAGCAAAACTTCATATGTAATGCACTATAAAAATGTATGATGAAAAATTATTTTAAAGCACTTTTGAAATCTTCCTGATAGAAAAATCTTTTATATTTTTACAAAGAGCTGAGTACTGAGTATGTTTATTGAAGACTCAAATGCAATGAACTTTATAGTTTATTGAGATAATAAAAGGAATTCACATACTTTTTCTAATTTAATTTTGTTACATGAACGTATTTTCTCTCTTATTGATCGAACATACAGTCTATAGACCTTATACTAAATATGAATATTGTTATGATACCAACAATATTTCCCAAGTATAATAATTTAACACGCATGCCGTGTTAGTTTTAATCGTTTGTGGTAATTCAATTATGAACAGTTAGTTGTATTACTTATCTCGACAAATTATAACAATTACATTATACTTGTGATATGATATAATACTTGGCGATAAATGGTATACATACAAATTTGAGACAAAACAAATTATGTTTAATAGAAAGATAATATTATATTTCTGATCAAACATACATACATAGAACAGAAACTTTTAATACGATTAGTTACGAAGATTCTTAAACTATAAACTAATAGCAGATATATTTTTTCTAATAGAAGAAAAGATCTTCAATTATAGCTAATACAATTGTATAAAGTTATGGACATATTTTTTATAAATTATTTGTTTATATACCTAGAAATCAGCAATTAATTTGTATAGAGATTTACAGAAAATTTAACAAATTCTATTTTTCATAAAAATAAGTATATGCTCTTTTAAGCTAAAAAAGGTACTATTCAAATTATAAACAGTTCTACCTCACAATTCGTTTCTAAAATGGCTTTAATGTTAGCTTTTACGAAAAATGTTTGGAAGGTCTATATAAATAAAGTGGAGAGGAGTCATTTAATTATACAATTTAAATTTGTTGACTTTTAGCGTTCATAAAAAATTCACGACAAATTATTATGACAAATAAGAGACCACATCTTGTTATATAATAAAAAATATTATTTGAAAGAATTTTATAAGAGCGAATTTGTTTAGAAATACGAAAGTTTATTTATTCTTAATATTAAAGGTAACTTTAAATATAATGCTAATGAGGTTGATTATTTTTTATGTCTTTAAATGCAAACTACATATAATACGACTCAGTTAAATTCTGACGAAATGTTTAAGATGCCCTGAAGTCAAATTAGTCATCTTTTATTTAACATAATAGAGATTTTCCTATATACATATGACTTTTGTATTTATTTCTTCTATACAGAAAACCAAATATTAAAAGTCATACGAAAGTCAGTCTTAAAAGTGTGCTAATAGTATTGAAATTATTTTGTCAATATAATTTTTTCAAAACATTTTTTCTCCATGAAATACAGGGTGACTGGTGAATTACTATCAATATTTAAGGAGCATACTCGGTACATGATTCTCATTCGAATTATGTAAAAAAATAGGTACTTCATTTTTGACACGTTCCAAGTGTTCCAAGTATGGACGCGTGCGGCGGCGTGCTGATACAACAACACGCCGCCGCGCGCGAGTGTGTGTGTGTGTGTATACCTAATCTGTAGGGTGCTCACACGATGCGTAACTAATTACACAACTTTTCGTTAACTTTACTTAGAAGTTTATTAATTTTTATTTTGTCATATATGATCGTCAAATATCACGTCCTCAAATATCGATAGTAATTCACCAGTCACCCTGTATAATAAATATTGTTTCTTTTACTGTCTTATTATAGTACATATCTGCATTAAACTTTGTTTTTTTCTATGTTAAATTCACATAAACAGAGTCCAAGCTACTAACTTTTTTTATTTCATTGTTTTAGCTCAACATGTAAAACAATATCCTGAAGAAATATTAACATAATGAAGTTGAGTTGAAGATATATAAACAAAAGGGAAACAAATTCAGAAGTAAAGGAGAAAAATGAAGAAGAACTTTGTGTATCCAACTTTTCAGCAGTAGATTGTGATAATGGTCGTTGACGAGGTTTTTTGTAAAAGGAGTGAGGAAGATCGTGATAAGAAAACAAACATTACTGGAGTCAAACTGGAAAGATAAAGGTAATTAAAACAAATGTTTAGCAACAAAAACAAAATGCATTTTAACATAATGTTTGAGAATCTTGTCCATAATGTTAGATTAATTATTTGTAATACTGTTTTTGTAGCAAATAAATCACATTAAATAATACATCATATTACACAACAACATATTCAAATTATATATATAAGTATTCCTCTCGTATCATAATCTCATTTGTTTGTATTCCATTCGTCATATTATTTTAGCATTCAATCAATAAGAAACGCAAAAGTCACATCTACATACACAGATACCTTTTTATATACATATTTTCATAATGTGCTTCTTTTCGTCAACAATTCCGATGTATTGGCATATTTTCATAAAATATTTAATTTTAAGCATCAGGCCGCCCCATATGGATCAAGCAAATGTTACCGGTATTGAGACGGGCAACCTGACGGTCGTGGAAGATCAAGAATGGTTGCCAGATTGGGTGTACAAACTGCGGACATCAATTTTGCTCCTTATTGTCATCATGGCTGTACTTGGAAACATGCTGGTGATCGTCAGTGTTATGCGGCACAGGTCAGAGGAATTTAGTTTTGTTTCATTTATTAATCCTAATTACCGTTTCTTTATAGAAAAATATTCTTTATTAGATTATGATAAATACTAATATATGATTTCTTTTCTTTCAGAAAACTTCGTGTCATAACAAACTACTTTGTAGTATCCTTAGCGTTTGCTGATATTCTTGTTGCTGTCGTGGTGATGTCTTTTAACTTCAGCGTCCAATATTACAATGAATGGATATTTGGTCCCGTCATATGTGACTTGTGGAACTCCTCTGACGTCTATTTCACTTCAACCTCGATATTGCATCTCTGCTGCATATCAGTTGACAGATATTACGCTATCGTCAAGCCTTTAAAATATCCTATAAAAATGACAAAAAAGGTTAGTTTGTAAAAAAAAATATATTCCTATACTTTTTTTTACTGCATGCGATGTTTTGATGGTAGTTGATTTATTTTAAAAATTTCACGGTTAAAATTCAATCGTACCTATTATGTAAATTAAATTTAACGAAGCATAAACCTACTTTAATTTACGAGTAATTTAAACCTTTAGTAACGTTTAAATGATACACTTAATTAAAATAATAGTTTTTAATGAGATATAAACTAATGAACAAATCGTTATAAAAGTAGGATTTTTATATAATAGTTAATAGTTAGTTCACTTAAATCAATAGTTTAATTTGGCATTTTCCCTACAAATGTATGATAAGTTGAAACGATATTCTATTATTTCAATTAACACATTTGTTGTCGCTATATTCAATTTATTGTTTTCTTTCTATAGTATAAAATAAGCAAAATCAATACAAATGTATATTTCTGAAAAGTAAAACTTTAGTACCTATAGTTACCGCATACTAATTAAAAATCACAATAAATATAGCTGAATGTTACCTACAAGGGGTTTCAAAGGGATTTTGTTTGTTTCTAAAGGTTGTTTTAATAAGTTTGACACTAGCTCCCCTAACTGTTTTATAAACCATTTAATTAGGCTAAATTTAGTACAAAGGGTAAAATGGGATACAAAATTATTATCGTCACAAAGGAACGATAAGTACTTGTAAACAAATATTATTAAAACGGTTAATTTGTTACAAAGTTTGAAGATAAAATCCAATTTAAGTTGAAGGAATAAAACGTTTTTCGCAATTTTAACATCGTGTTATGGTTCACTGGAACGTACATACGTGTCAAATGTTTGTTCTTTTTTCAGATGGCTTTTGTGATGTTAGCTGCGACGTGGCTGAGCCCCATAACAATATCGTATGCCCCGATTTTCATGGGATGGTATACAACGAGTGAATACTTGAAAACCAGAGTATTAAATCAGTGCGAGTTCAAAGTAAACAAACCTTATGCAGTTATATCTAGTTCAATATCGTTCTGGATACCTTGCACCATAATGGTATTTACTTATCTAGCGATCTTCAAAGAAGCTAACCGACAAGAGAAGGCGTTGCACGCGAGAGCCGGAAACGCTATGTTGATGCACCGGCATTCAAGAGACGTGGGTGATAAAAACGGTTTACATATTAACGCCAATACTCCAACCAAAGATAGGAATATATTAAAAATGAAACGTGAACACAAAGCTGCTAGGACTTTAGGTATCATTATGGGCGCTTTTATTCTCTGCTGGCTGCCGTTTTTCCTGTTCTACTTATCAACGTCTTTGTGTGATTCGTGTACGTATCCAGAATTTGTGACTGTTCTCATGTTTTGGACTGGATATTTCAACTCGGCTTTGAATCCGATAATATACGCGTACTTCAATAGAGATTTTCGTAATGCCTTTAAGAATACATTGGCATGTGCATTCTGTAGTTTTTGTCGACGGAATCCTATGGATTCTGAAGCTACGGAAAGATTGGAAAGGAGAAGTTCAGCTCAACTTCGAGTTCCACTTCCATCAAGACGCGCATCTGATCTAGCGTCGCTTTGAATAATCTATCAGAATGATGTGACGTCAGCTTGACGGGCCTAGTGTCTCAACGAAATTTATATGACCCACCCGTAAGTGATCAGAACGAACAATTTAATACTAGTTATAATATCTTTTTACCTCAAGAATAAGAACTGTTTATCATTAATTAATGTATAATCATATTATTTATGTGTTCTCTCTAACTATACCCTGTTATAGTACCTAGTTTAGGTAATATTAACGATGGTCGTGTCTGTAGTAAATTGAAGATATAAATATATGTAGACATTATCTACTAGTAATATCATTCTGAAAGGACAGAAAAAATGTGATTGTGTTTTCCATATATCAAATGTTCTGTTCTTATTTAATTGAATATTTGTTTGTAAAATATTATAATCGATTACATAATAAATTGTATATAATTCTGTAAATAGTTATAACTCAGTGGACTTCAATTTATTTGTAACATAGGCCTAAAATAAATTAATTATCAGTGGCCATAAAATGTAAATATTAGTCCTAATAAAAGATTTATTTTCATTATACATAATTTATTCATCTTAGATGTAGTAAATTAGTTTCAATGTTAGATTCAGTCATTGATTAGTCAAATATAATTTTAGTTTTAAGTAGTTAAATAACTAATATTCTATAAATATATTTTGTAATCCTTACGTTATTTAATATATATATATTCTTTATTTAATATCATAAAAGAATTATAGAAGACACTTTGTAAATTATTTATTTAAACCACAAGTTATTTAGATGAGGTAGACGTTAATTAATTTATCAGCTCAATTTACTTGTTTTTATTTTATGCTTTAATAAAATGTAAATTTATTCATTAAGTTTGTAGCGTCAAAGGCAATTTGTGAATAGAATATTTATATATAATATTAAGTTACTTGTATATTATTAAGAACATATAACATGAATAGGGAGATAATAATAATTATGGGGACAAATAACGCTTCAATAGAAAAATCAAGTTAAAGTAATTAATGTGCTATTATAAACAGACAGATTAGCATTTGGTGTGTTAGTGTGTTTATCCATTAACTATGTATGTGTTTATCAACTAATATTGAATAAATTATTTGAAAAAAAAAAATGTTAAAATCTTGAGCGACACATTTCATTGAAACAAAATTTTAAATTTATTTTCAAATTAATCTATTGTTATGATGATAACGATGCGAGTGAAATAAAATTGTAACATATATTTTCAATATTTATTTTTGTTATTAAAAAGTTATGATTTTCAAATGTGCGCTCAATATTTAAACAGAATTTAAATGATAAAATTTCTTCGGTGTTCATCTTAATTCCTCTAATATCTGTATGTCGATGTTCATATATATTCGCTTACATCTCCTACAGAAATAGCTGTAGAGAGTTTTAGTAGTATAAACGTGTAACCGATTATTCAAATCTCGATAATTCGTATTACAATTAAAACTTTCTACATTTAGATTCGAACTTTTAAAGTCAATGTGTCTTCCTTTTTAAATATAGGCTCAAACGATGTTTATAAAATAGTATAAAATGAAAAATTTGTAGTTATAGAACAGTGTTTAATGGATGTGCCCGTTTTATTTTTAATGTAACGTATTTAAAGGGCTGTTGGTGTAATAAAAGTAATAATATATGGTTGTGACTTCTTAATATTACAACTAACGTTTTAAACTCATATCTCATTTTCAAATTGGCTTTCTTCGCATTAATTCTATGCTACATTTCAATAAGAAAATTTAAAGACTCTGTAAGTAAATAATTATTATGAATATTCACATATTATTATAGAAACTGTGATTGTTATTTTGTTATTTAGTGCTTACTGATATATTTTTTCGTCGTCTTCGTGTTATATCTCCCGAATCAGTTAATTTGGTTCACTCCGTCCACTGTCATTTATTTCAGATTTCTGTAATCATGTAATTCAATGCAATAAACGATACTGTATATAAATGTCATAAATGTTTAGGTACTTACGATTTATAGAACTCTTTTAACTAACTGTAGTATAGTCGAGTCGAACAGCAATATGTAATTATAAATTTTAGATCAATGGTTATACTTTATGTAGTTAATTTTGCGTTGTATCCATAGAAGTAAATATAGTTGTATATTTGAGTCACGTTATTTATTGGACTGTGATAATTTTAATTATTCCTATTACATTTTTAATTTCGCAGTTCCTCTGTATATCACAAATAATTATAATTTTGTTATTAATTGAAAGTTTATTTAAATGATGTGATATTTTGTAGTATTTAATAACGACACCAAAACATCTGAAATGAAATTTCGTTGTAAATATTTTTTCTTATTAATTTAATTCTTAGTATATTTATGTTTTTTTTTTGAATTATTTTTAAATTATTCAAAACGTTTGATATGAATAAATATTTACTTTAAAATTAATGATTGGTTTTAAATTTACAATTTGTTAGGTCCCTATGTTTAAAACAATAAGACATTGTAAACAAAACTTCTGTTTGTATTTGAAGAAGATTGTTTTAAAATATCATTATGTGAGTGTCATGAGTTATGTAAGTTTCTTAAATTGTACTGTATTTGGGTAATCTTCGCCCTCACATGTGCGTATAATCAAATGCTTTTTGCATAATAAACAAATTGTTTCGTATATTTTTCTCATGTATTATTTACACCCATTCCATACAAAATATGAAACATCCATAACACAAGTGTATGTATAATTATTTATATTAATATTATGTATATATATCCATCACGAGAATATTTTCCATTTAGACATTATGTTGCTTGCTTTTAAACTATATGACAGTCGTAAAATATTTTAAGAAAAAACTTCCAAAGACTTTTGTACTATATATAAACATTTCTTCCATTTATTGCAATATTTTTAAAACTTTTCTCTTTTTACAAACTATCGTCAGTTTTCAAATAGACTTTATTATATTTGTTAAGATAAAGGTTTGATATTGGAGCATTATTTTTATCTCTTTTTTACCAATTTACATTAAGTCTATAGCATAAAATATGGTGACCAAGGTAAACTTACTTACTTGTCAAAAAGACAACCTAAAATATAAAAGAATTAGTATCCAAATAATGAAAGAATATTTAGGTTAATACTCTCAGTCTTCTCCATGTGAAAATATGCCTTTGCTCAGCAGTGGGCTCTGGAAGGTTGATGAAGATAATTCTCAGTTTTAATCATAAAAAATATTAGTCTATAATCTGTGATTGGGTAAAAATACTTTGTTTATAAAAATTGTTCCCATAATCCTGTGAGACTTAATATTGTTTTAAAGTTTTTTTATTTACAAATCATTTGACTGTATCTATACCTCCTACCTTATGAAATACGCTGTTCATAAAATTTTGCTTCTTTTCTTTGAAATTACTGTAGTTACTAAACTTCTGCTTTCAAATTGATGAGTGAGAGAATATTTTTATTTTCACTCAAATTCGATATTATTAAGTAATATTTAGAATTCTAACTCCTTTTATTCATACACTTCTAGAAAATGTTAATAAAGTAGAGAATTGATGCTGTTATGTTTTCTTTTATAATAATTTCGAGGATTCATTAACAAAACCAAGTAAATAGCTGATTGGTTAAAAATATCAATTGCTAAAGAAAAAGAAACTAAATTAATATGTTATGCAACATTATTCAATAGGATCATGGTCCAATAAACATAATTATTTTTATAATTCAATCGCCACTCGATTAGACTGTTAAATCTCATGAAATATTTTAACAAGTATGGAATAAAATTTTGCGTGATATCAAAGGAATACACGTAAATACACTTGCAAACGTAAACCAAGGAAGTGTTTTATTAGTAGTGAGACGACATTGGTCTTATTACTGAATCATTGGATAACTCCCAAGTCTGCTCTTCAGTCTGATCTATTATTAGATTATAAGTGCTCCTTGATAAGAACTTATGTTCTTTATGACTGATAGTTTATTTATGTTTCTTTAAACTAGTTATATAATAACATATTTTTCTTTCCTATCTCGAACTATATTTTACCTAATTTACATTTCACATAATTTAAATGAAACTGATATTTTTCGGACTAGATAGGACATCTCGTGTGCCCGTGATCACGGTGATGCTAAGAGTAACCGAAACGTCTGGAGTGTGTAGTTTTTAAAATAACATAATACTTGTAAGTAAATCCGAAAAATTTTAGTTTCATTTAAATGAATACTCGCGAAAGTCTTAAATCTCATTATTACACATAATTTCTCTGACATTTTCTGTGACTATATGTTTATAAAAAGCAAAACAGAATACATACTTATTAAACATATTTCATTTATATTTCTTTTATGATCTCCCATTTACATTATTCAAAATATAAATTCAGAAATCCAGAAAGGTTCTTATTTCAATAAACATTTTTTATCATCGTATTCCAATATAACTTTATCGCTGAGACCGATAAAAACCTAGAAAAAATATCATAAAATGAAACGTCGACATCGAAAAATTATCGGTGACCCAACAATGGCTATTGAAAAACTATATATACTTGGGACCTTTTGCTTTCAGCCAAAATATATTATATATTTCTCATTAATATACCAATACTATAAATAAGTATTTTCTCTATTATTTTATGGATAATTTATTTAATTCGTTTGTATAGTCATGGTATGAATTTAGCTGAAATAATGAAATCAAACCCATTAAAAATTATTAACTGTGGTTTAAATAGGATTTATTATTATATGACTATGACCTTTAAACAGAGTAATTGAAATATTATTTATGATATTTTGTTATAGAAGTAGCAAGTATAAATTACAATAGATATATATGTATCTATAAAGATTATTTGTACGACGATATCTAAAACAATATTAAAGTAGATAAAAAATTGTTAAGAGAAAATATTCTTTGTCGTATTAGACATTACTTTTTCAAAGTAAAATGGAAAATATCTCATAGACAGATCCACGCACTTTGTGAAGTCAAATACGATATTAGAAAACGAGTAAGCCATAA